AGGGACAGCAGGAGCGAGTCTCCGAAAGCCTGGTTCAACTCTGGGATGCTGCTCTCCTTGGCAGGGCGTAAGCTGCCTCCGGGCCACGGGACAGGCTGGGTCTGGAGCTAGAGAATGGGTCTGGGGCGAGGTGACAGGACAGGGTCTATGCAGCGCCCACCGTGAGGACCTGAGATCAGGCGCGTGCTCTAAGACTGACACAGGAAGAGCGTGACTGTGACCAGACGAGGTGGGACCAGGAGTCAAGAAGGGGACAGTCCCAGGGCGGGCAGTCCCCTCCTATCACGCGCCACCGGGAGGCAGCCAGGGGTGGTGCTGGAGGTCTCAGGAAAGAAGGGAGGCGCCGGGCAGGGTACATTTTAAAACCTCCCGGGACGCAGCCCTGGAGGTGGGGAGCCAGCTGCAGGGGGAGGGGCGCTAGGGAGAGGGGAAGGTGAGAGACATCCACGTGGACATCGGAGAGGGGAGGGGCGAGTCCCCAAGAACTGTGGCGTCAGGAGTGTCGGCAGGAAGGGGGTCACCTGGCGCGCTGTCCCCCAGGAGGAGCGCGTGCCAAGTCAGCAGGCGGCACGTGGGGGAAGGGGCAGGCTGGACGGCGGAGGACATGGGTCCTGGAGGAGGGGGGGCACGACACGGTGCAGGAGGCCGAGCCGAGGAGAGACGGCCACTGCGGCAGCTGGGGAGTCTGGGCGCTGGCCCTGGCATCCCTGGGCAGGAGGGGACCAGAGTCTGGCGGCAGGGACAAGGCCTGGTGAGCAGCGGGTGCCCTGCCCCCGCGTGTCCGCCTCTGCTCCCTTGTTCTCAGGGCCCTCAGCCCTGCCTGCGGGCCGGCCATGTCTGTCACTCTGTCAGTCTGGTGTCCGGCCCCTCCCAGCAAAGACAGAAGGGGACACATTCAAGGAACACGGCGGGAAGTCACCCCCCCACCCCTAGGGTCACTGAGGAGACACTTCCATCTTCCGCTTTGACACGCTGTGATGTGAAACCATTTGACGCCCGAAGGAATCAGGATAAATTCTGGATAAACTCATCTTAAAGACAGGATAAACCCTCCCTCTCAAGTGTGAAGAGAACCAGCGTCCCCCCCTGGGTCACACCCGGAGAAAAGCCGCCTCCTGCCGTGTGGCTTTCTCTGGTGCAGCCGAGGGACACCTGGGAGCCGGTGTGCGTGGCCCTTCCCTCCCAGCACGGGCAGGATCCGCAGGAACCCAGTCATCTGAGGAAAAGAGGGAGAAAGGACCCTCTCCGGGCATCAGCACACTCAAATTCCGGGGAGCGCTTGTACTCACACAGTGTCCTTTAAAGTGGCGAGATAGGACTCTGTGTCCCCCTCGGGGACGTCCGAGTCCAACTTGGACAAGTAACGGTAGACGTAGGAGAAAGTCTCAAACGGGATGCGCGCGGGCCCGCCCTCGGGGTCCGTGGTCAGGATCTCACACAGATGCTTCATCGAAGTGTTCAGTGACTAGAGACACGACAGACAGGGGGAAACAATTACCACTTGGCACCGCTGAAACGGAAGCCTAAGACATCCACAGAGAAAACGCCGGAGCGTATTTGACAGGAAGTCTCCGAAGGGTACGTTCTCCTCGATCTAAATGAAGAACTGGGTAAGGTTACAATTGCCATAAACAAAGAAAAGGGCAGGTCTGATCACGATGTGATTGGCCTGAAAAGAATGTTAATCCACAGATTTTATTTTACATTAAAATGGGGGGGGGCGCACCCGGGTGGCTCAGTCGCTTAAGCATCTGACTCTCGGTTTCAGCTCAGGTCATGATCTCACAGTTGGTGAGTTCGAGCCCCGTGTCAAGCTCTGGCACTGACAGTGCAGAGCCTGCTCAGGATTCTCCATCTCTCTCTCTCTCTCTGCCCCTCCTTGACTCACACTTTCTCTCTCAAAATAAATAAATAAACTTAAATAAATAAATAAATACATAAATAAATAAATAAAATGGGAATGACTCTCCAGGATGTGAGGAAGTATCAGCCCCCTCAAGACGGGCCCCAAGCCAGCGCAGAACTCACCAGCCCCTTCAGCATCACCACATGCCTAGGGGACGGAGCTAACGCTCACCAAGTAGACGTGTCACCTGCCCGTCAGGCTCCGTGGAGGCCCCAGGCAGGGGCGGCCTTGCTCTGGGCCTTGTCTCAGCTCCGGGAAGCACCAGCCCCTTCGCCCCTGTGCACCGTGCCTCCCTCTGCCTGGGTCGGTCACCCCCACCCCCTCCCCGGCTGCCGGTACTTTGGCTTTGAGCCCGAAAGCCAGGCCTGGGAGAAGCCGTGCGTCTCCCACCAAGGCACAAGCTCTGAGCGGGCTGACTCCCTCCAAACCAGGAGGGCTCAAGGAAACGCACTCACGGAGGGGGAGCCACTGCCTACGTCAAGCACAGCGGGAAGGCCCACGCAGAGAGCGCTGGTTTAGTGCTAGACTGTATCGGATCCCTGGTGACCCCACGAGAGCCTCGTGGAGACGCAGGGACCAGGCCTGTGTGCAGGGGACCAGCTCTTGCGGACTGTAAACTTTCCAGGAGTTTATTGAGAGGGTTGACCTCCCATTGGCAGCTTGAGACCAGCCATGGTGGGAGCATTTACACCTCATGCCAGTCAGGGCCCTTCTCCCCTGCAGAGAGCAGGCTGTTTAGGGGGCTGCACTTGGGAGGAAAGAGTGAGAAAAACACAGATGGGACGGTCACACACGGATCTGCCTGACCGGGACTGAGGCTGTGTAGGGGGACAGGAGTCGGCACTGCTTAGCTGGCCCGTTCACGGCTCCAGTCAAGGTGTTGGCCAGGGTTGGGGCCTCATCTGGAGGCTCGACTGGAGACAGACCTGCCCCCACCCTGACCCAAGTTGCCGGCGGACTCGCTGCCTCGCGGCCGGCTCTCTGCGGACCCTCACAACAAGGCAGTGCACCTCCACCAGGCTCCAGGAGCTCCACCGGCTTCTCACACTCATGCCAGAGAAGACGCCTCACGCTTGCAGCAGGGAGAGGGGGAGAGGGCTAAAAGGGAGTCAGTGGGGCCCAGCGGCTGAGCGGCTGGCCTGAGGTGAAGCCAGCAGGGCAGGAGCAGTGAACACACCCCAGCAACGTGAAGAGCCACCAGGCTGGTGTGGGGGGGCGGGGGGTAGATGAGCTGCCACCTTCGGGGACTCCAGGCGCCGGGCTGGGGGCTGGAGGGGAGGAGGCCTGACCAGCCCAGAGCTCCCCATCGCCGTAGCCGGGGCTCCAGGTGTCTGGAAAGCCACTTCCCACACCACCCGGGACCGAGGGCCACTGGAAACCTTTCAAAGACATGTGGTTTTGTTAGATTTTGCTTTTATGTCCGTCGCAAGCGGGAGAGAGTCGCCGGTGGGTGTGGCAATGCTGAGCCTCAGGAGGGATGATGGGGACGGAAGCAGCCTTCGCGGAGCAAGCAGATGAGGTCTGAGAAACTGTGGCTCCAATGCTTCCGAGGAGGAGGCATTTAAGGAAAAAGTGCATCAAAACATCCCAGCATCCTTGCCTTGTGCAAAGGCCCGATGATGCTACCGGTGTGAACATTTCTGGCAATGAGATGCACCGCCATTTTTATATCCACGAGGGTTCGGAAGGCAACTTGCCTGGCTTTGTACCTGAGCCAGATTTCTCCGCTTCCAAGGGTTGCTCTCCAGCCAGAAGACCCTCGCAGGCAGGCGCCCCTGCCCCGACTCACTCTCCTGACACAAGCTCTTCTGGAAGGTGTGGCTGCACTTGCTTCTAGCCCAGCACTTAAGTCTGAGCCGTCACATGCGATTCAGGCGGGGACAGGAGACAAAGACAGGCCTGGAGACGCCTGCTGTTTCCTGAGCAGCTTCAGGGCACCGGCTCTGTGGAAGCTTCTGTTTCAGAATTTTAGCTGCTCTTGTGGTGACAACAGAGGCACCTCACACCTCCCCCAATCCCCTTTTAGCTAGCGGGAAGTGACAATCTGTGTAACATCGTGACTGATCCCTTTAAAAAGAAGAAGGGGGGTCTCCTCTGAGGTGCGGCCTGATGGCAGCCGGGAGGGAGAGCTCAGTACCTCAAGCAGTGGTGTCACCCCCGCATTTCACTTTGAAAAAGTCTGAGGACCTTTTCACTTCCTTCCTCATCCTCAGGGGTTTTCTCATCTAAAACGCAGGCAGTTCAGTTCGGGGACCTGCGGCAGGTGAGGGTGGCAGACGGGTACTCTCGAGATGGCGGGACTCGGTCCTCGGGAGAAGCCCGTTCGTGAGGGCCGATGCTGCCCATGTCGCCGTCCGGGGAGGAGGGAGGGCCCCCACGTGTGAGCACAGGGACAAGGCCAGTGGAGGCATGTGGGTGGGGTGCACCCCGCCTCTTTCTCCCCCCTGGGGGAGACCCTCAGCAGTGGGGTGCCTGGTGCTGGGGGCCGGAGACCCCAGGGACCCAAGAGCAGCCCTCCTGGTGGAGACAGTTACCAAACTTGTCTGTGACGTGAGGCTCCCACCCACGGCGGGGGGCTGTTTCTTTTCCACGGTCAAATGGTAAAAGGACTTCTCGTGGGCACCTCAGAATGGGCTCAGAGGCCAAGCTGGGAAACCTGAATAGGGGAGCGAGCCAGGACGCTGCCTCCATCACTGGGCCACTGGGGAGATGACCCACTGTGCTTGGAGGTTGTCCTAAGAATTCCAGCTGGGCCCTGCTAGGAGGCTGGCAGGAAGAGCTTTTCAGAGTAAAACTCCTTTTAGGAAATCAAGTGATATTAATGGGAGTGGTTATTCTCTGAGACAGGAACCTGCAGGCTCTCACACGGTGCCCCAACCCGAGGGCGGCACACTCCTGGGCTCCAGGGAGGCCGGTGGCCGTGCGTCGGCAGCGTGGAGCCCGTGGTCTGCGTTCAGATCCCACTCTGCCACTTGCAATCTGAGTCCCTGAGCCTCCCTCCACAACTAGTCATCCTGCGAGGCCCGGGACGGCCCTTCTGCAGAGGGCTGCTGGAGGATTAAGGAGAATAGAGACGAAGGCGCTGAACGTCCCAGCCCACGGCGAGAACCCTGGACGTGACGCCCATTCGTAAGCGGCGTGTTTTGGACGGAAAATCGCGTTACACACACGCATCCTGGCCACTGGACGCAGAGCAAAGTTCATGCTTCTCAGAGGCTGTCGAGCGTCAGGCCGGTGGTTTGCCATTCCGGGCTTCCTCCCTCAGTGTGGGCGGAGGGTGGCGGGGGCTTCATTCACAACATTTTTTTGTACTAAAAGAGGTCCTCAAGCTTAAAAAAACAAAGCAAAGAATTTTGATCCCCTGCTTCGATGCTTAGGATCACTGCCGGTGCTGCAGAAAAGGAAACTCAAAGATCACGACATGAAATGTCATCTTGCCGGGCAAGCATTGCACGGCATCGGAGCAGGGGGCGGGGGGCGGGAGTCACCAGCACGCCCGCCCCGCCTCCCACCTGCCCCGGCAGCGCACACGGGCCCGGAACCCCGTTTGTGGCTCGCGACGCGGTAAGCCAGGTGGCGGCGAGGCACGTCTGCCTGTTCTGTCCACTCAGGACGGGGCCCGGCTCGAAGCAGGGCTCAGCACACGTTTGTGAAGCAAGGACGGTAGGCAGGCGCGATTCACAGGACTCTGAAGTTTAAGTAGAGCTTCTTCTGGTCTTCGCAGAGACCTTGCATTTGATCCCTCTGCCCGGTGATTTCGAAGAGGAATTTGAGAGCACGGACAGCACGGAGGACGCGTCTGCCACCAGCCACGCAGAGACCGTGGATGGAGGCGGCGGGGTCGAGCCCGTTGTGGACACAGCCACCAGATTCCAGTTTACCGGAAAGCCTCTGTGGAAGGTGAACGGGCAGTAATCCGTCGTAAAATACTCGTCCTGTCCTTCCACTTCACCGCTCCGCCTCCTCCCTCTGAAGGGTTTTTAAAAAGCGTAAACATAAACGCTAAGATGCCCCACGACACCACAACCGTCCCCTCCGAGGCACAGCTACGGGTTGCTGATGCGCCTCCACGCTGCCCCGCCAACGCGTGGGCATCCAGTGGCCTCTCTCCTTCGGGGCCTGGCTGCCCCGGGCCACCTTCACTCCCCCGCCCCCCTCTCCCTTCCCCACCTACATGGCCGGTGGACCAGAGGGGACGGGCACCAGCAGGAGGGGACCTTCCCTGACCGCCTGGCTCCAGAGTCCACGGCTCACAGCAAGCACTACTGCCGAGGTGGCCTGCCTCGGGGACGGGACCGGACCCCACACTGACCAGCCAGGATGACAGACGTGTTCGAGGAGGAAAGGAGGGGCGCCCACGCTGGTGTCCTGGCCCCTTCCCCGGTGTTGCGTTCAGAAGGTGACCAGATGTCTCCACCCAGCGTCCCACCCGACGCGTGGACGAGAGACCCTGTCGCTTGCTCTGGCCTGGCTCCAAATCTAGCGCTTAACCGTCAGGCTTAAAGTGAAAGTGACAAAGGTGGCTCCCCCACAGTATGAAACATTCTACCTTCTGGGAAAATCTGAATTTCACAACTACACCATAAACATCCGTTCAAATATTACTGATTTTACATTATGAAAATCTTGCTTTCACCGGAGTTCCAGATGAACCAAGCAAGGCAACGTTAGCTTCAGTAACGAAATCTGACTTTGTCCTTCCCGCCGGTCACATCGGGGCCCGTCTTTGCCGCAGGAGGGTCCCCGGGGCTGCCGTCCTCTCCACGGCTGGTGGAAACACTGCCTCTGGGCCCCCGTGCAGCTCAGTGTGCAGCGTCCAGCCAGCACCTGGCTCTCCTGGGGTTTCCCACTTTCTCACTGGGGCCCTGAGTAGAACCAGTGAACTGTGGTCCATCACAGAGTGGCTATCACACGGCAGAGGCCATGCACGACCTACAGCGGTCTGTAATGATACAGACGGACAGATAAGGAAATCTAACTGGGAGTGAAAAGAAGTTCCAGAAGGTTACTAATAACAGAATCCTCTTTTCATAAAGTTGAAACCAACGAAAATAAAAGAACGTTCTTTCTTTCTTTTTATTTTTTTTAATGGTCATTTATTTTAGAGAGAGAGAGGCACACACAGAATATGAGCCGGGGGGAGGCGGGGGGTGGGGGTGCAGAGAGGGAGACACGGAATCCGGAGCAGGCTCCAGGCTCTGAGCTGTCAGCACAGAGCCCAGTGCGGGGCTCGAACTCATGAACTACGAGATCATGACCTGAGCCGAAGTGGGACACTTAAAACCGACTGAGCGAGCCAGGTGCCCCGAGATAATGTATTTCTTGGGGTATGTACGTGGCCCCCAGGAAGCGTGAGATTTGGGACAGCGGTTGCTTCGGGCCAGGGAGGCAGGGGGATCGAACGGAGGAAGAGAGCAGAGGCCCTCAGCAGCGGCGCATTGTTGGTGTTAGCGATCATGTGGGGATCATGGGCGCTTGTGACATTAAATGACTGTCTAAAATTAAAACCGGAGATGAGTGCGTCATGAAACGTGGACTGAATTACCAGTCGTGCTCTCTGCGGTGCAAAGACTATAAAAAGGGAGGGCAGAAAACAGGTGGCCATCTCGGCAGTGAAGGGGCCACTTCTCCTAAAAACCCCTTCTTCACAAGCGGACAGTGGGAGCTCTTCCTCCCTCGGACCCCGGTGTCTCACAGACTCGAACACTGGAGCTGGAGAGAGAGCGTCCAGATCCCCAAAGAAGTCCGGTCCCTCCTCTCCCCGCCCCCCTCAGTTCAGAGACGCTCTTACCTTGGGAATTGGAGAGTCGCCTGTGTCTTGATTCCCAACGGTCGTACTTCAACATAAGCCAAGTTCACTATATCTGTCACCTACTAATCACAGATTTTAACTCAAATATAAACTAACTTTACGCCTCTTCCCACAGAGGAGGAAAATAACATCTGCTTATGAAACGGTGTGTAGTTTCATAAAAAGTCACTGATGCATTCTCTTCTAAAACCCAAATGCCTTTTAATGATATTTTATCTACTTTTTTTATCTACTTTTAATGATATTTTATCTACTGTTAACAATTTTAAAATTGAAGCATTCGTAAGTCTTTAACTTTCCCAAATTAAAATAACTGTAAGCCCAGGGGCACCTGGGTGGCTCCGCTGGGTGAGCATCTGACTCTTGGTGTTGGCTCAGCGTCATGACCTCATGGTTCATGAGATGGAGCCCCACGTCGGGCTCTGCGCTGACAGCGTGGAGCCTGCTTGGGATTCTCTCTCCCTCTCCCTCTCTCTCTCTGCCCCTTCCCTACTCATGCTTTCTTTCTCTCTCTCAAAATAAATAAACATTAAAAAAAAAAGTTTAAAGTAACTGTAAGCCCAAGAATAAGACAGTCAGGGGTGCCTGGGTGGCTCAGTCGGTTAAGCATCTGACTTCGGCTCAGGTTATGATCTCGAGGTTCGTGAGTTTGAGCCCCGCGTTGGGCTCTGTGCTGACGGCATGGAGCCTGCGTGGGATTCTCTCCCCTTTTCTGTCCCTCCTTCACTCGCTCTCTCTCTCTCAATCTCTCTCAATAAATCAATAAACATTGAAAAAAATACGATAGTCTCTGGAAAAAAAAAATTGCTTCTCTTAGACAAAGTGAGTAAAGTAATGAGAGTGTTTCCTTCAGTTACTGAAACACCTCCATTATTTTCAAGCCAGGCCTATGATTACCCAGGATGATTAATACACTACTTGTAGGTACGTACCCCACCAAGCATGCTACATCCGAGCGCTAAAAATTTTATCCACTCGATTTTGTTTTCGCAAGGATCCAGCTGCAGCAGAGTTCTGAAGTTTTCTACTGGCAGGCACAGATTTTTCCATTTCTGCTCAAGATGTGCTAATTCCACATACTGCTTGTGGCTACACTGTATAGAAAACACAGTATGACAAAATCAGTACGTTTTTACGTCTGCAAGTATTAAGGTTTAAAAACCCGTGAAACATAATGCCGATGAATCTTTAAACTCATCCCAGGCGCACAACTGCATGCTGGGAAGAGATGAGCTCTGAATTCACAACACAGAGAGCCCGGGGAGAGCTGGGTGGGAAGGTGTGTGGGGGGATGCTCGCCCGGCAAGAGGGCGCGGCGAGCCGATATCGGCACAGTTAACTTCTCAAAAGGAAAAAGGACGGTGAGGTCAATACGGCCTCCCGTTGTGACTTAGGAAAAGGGCACACGCACACGGGGTAGGTGATTCTCTGTGGTCTGTGTGAAATGCTTCGCAAGAAAAAATAAACTTCAACTCTTAAAAACTGAGAACAGACTGAGGGTTGATGAGGGGGTGGGAGGGAGGGGAGGGTGGGTGAGGGGCACCGAGGAGGGCACCTGTTGGGAGGAGCGCTGGGTGTTGTACGGAAACCAATGTGTCGATAGATTTCATATTACAAAAAAAATAAACTTCAACAAACAAAATGAAAACCTTTCAAATCCCACCCGCTCCATGTGTTAACAGTTAAATAAGAGAAATTTGAAAACTGAAAACAAATTCATTCCTTCTACTTTTTGAAATAATCTGTGAGAACTGGTAACTACCGCGATGTGCTAATGGTCTTGAACGTGAAATGCTTTGAGCAATTTTAGCGTGACTTTTCCCGAGCTACCCCTTTCGATGGTTATTCGTTTTTCCCTCCAGATTTCCAGAAGTCAGCGTATCTGGCACAGAAGCACGGTAAGTCAAAAAGTGTAATGGGGACAAATCACTTTAAAGATCAAGGTGATACCACTATGTCATTTTTAGCAACACAACGCAATCATTAGGATTGCCAAGCTTGGCCGGATAACACACAATCTGGTAACTCGTTTCTCTGAAAGCAAGATGGTGGGTCGGGAGAGCACCGGCCCGGGACTCTTGCGCAAGACTGTGCGGGTAGGGCCTCGCCCATGCCCGGGCTCTCTGGACGAAGGACACCAGACGTCAAAGGGCGCTCTGCTGTTCAGATTAATGAGGCGGCAAATTATTTCTTTAGCACATACGAAACTTTTATAAACATATTTCAAGAAGAGACTTGCAGCCCCCATGTTTGGAGTTGAATGTTCAGACTTGTAGTCCAGGAGCATCTAGCGTTGTAATTTGGTATTTAAAAGAAATTATATTTCACTTTCCTACAATCTAACCACGAATAGCTATGTTGGGTTCTTTCAACTAGAGAAAGAGCACTGAATACAACGGATCCCTCCTTTGACTAAATCTTGCGGGTTTGCACAGGGAACGGAGGCCTCGCAAATGTGTTGGGATGCGTTAACGCAGCCACGCTTTATCTCGTGGAGCCGACAGATTAACAGAGACCCCTCATACCTGCTTGTGCAAAACTTTCAGGAGTCCTTGAGTCAGGCCTGTGTCCGTTTTCTGAGTGGCCACGGGCATTTCAATTCTGTCCTTGACAGGAAGCGGATCTCCTCTTGACAAAGCTGAAAAATACCTAACAGCAACAGATGTCCCTGAAGGCTCGTCGATACACAGAAAGCACTGTAATGAATGCGGTCTCCTAAATGACCCCCAATGCCTGGAACCCCTCCAGGGGTCTTGGCTCCTCTACTCGGCTCTCCAACTTAACCCTCTGTGCGTGCCTCAGTTTCTCTGTCTGCAAAACCGATAATGGCAATCCCTGTTGTAGGGCCCCTAGGAGCACTGAGCTCAAGCCGCAGCGGGCTGAACGTGCCGCTCAGCCATCAGGCCAAGGGGCGGGGGGGCTCCCGAAACACATGTTATTATCAAGCAAACACTATGAGGGGTCCTGGAATGCTGCCAAAGAAGGTCGGAGATTTGGGATGACAGTGACCCAAGGGCAATGCCACAGTGCAGTCCTTCCACTTTGACAGCTGGCATCTGGCCCTCCCTTTGGTTGGCCTGGCTGCCTTCCAAGGGGCCTGACTTCGACCATCTCAGTTCAGCCCGACACGGTCCTGGATCAGGGAGGTCACCTGTCTGCCCCACTCCTCTAAGTCAGAGGCCACCCTCCCCCACCCTTCACGCTTTCCTGCCTGGTACCTTGTTTTAGTAATTTTTTAGGAAACTGCTTTATTAAATTTAACAATTTAGTAATAATAGCAATTAATTTAATTAATTTAGTAATTAACAGTAACAATTTAGTAGTGGTTTTAGCATTGTTTCCCCTTTCCCTGTTCCTTTCTGGGGTGGGAATATGGGTGCTTACGTCGGTACCAATATTGCCTCTAGCGGGACAAGTGAGGGCATGGAACCAGTTTAGGGCAACGAGTCAGGATGAGACACACACTCGGCTTCTGTCTGGTGGGGACGGGGAGGAGGCACCAGGCGAGCCAGGGGTGGCCAGCCGCTGAAGGCAAGTCACCGGCCACTCTCATGGCTAACACAACAAAAAGAAACAATATACACAGCGAAATGAATGGCAAATCCTCCGCCAGGCCAACAGGTCATAATCGAAAAGGTCTGAATAACGAGGGGCGCCTGGGCGGCTCAATCGGTTAAGCGTCCGACTCTTGACTTCAGCTCAGGTCACGACCTTGCGTTTTGTGAGTTCGAGCCCCGCACGGGGCTCTCGTATTGGCAGTTTGGAGCCTCCTTGGGATTCTCTCTCTCTGCCCCTCCCCAGCTCTCTCTCTCTCTCAAAAGTAAACTTAAAAAGTAATAAAAAATATGAGTCATTAGAAACATCTCTGATTATGTAACAGAGATAGCCGTAGCTAGGTATTTGATAGGCTAACAGAAATTTTGTACCTCGTCTCCTTTTCCTCTCTCCGTCCGTATTTTGTTGACCTAACACAAGGGCAGCAGTGAGAGAGACAAAGGTGGACAGGAAGAAGTAAGGTGACAGGGGCGAGGCATGGGTGTGTAGCTTTGTCATATTGTTCCTAATTAGGGTTTTCGCCTATTTGGGGGACTTTATTCCTCATCACCGATCAAGCCACTCACCCACCTCCACACAGCCTCTAAAGCAGTGGTCCTCAACAGTTCTCCCTTCTCCTCCCCAGGAAGGCCCTGGCAGTTTCTGGAGACATTTCTGGTCGTCACAGGAGGGGGTGGATGGTGCGACTGGCCTCTAGGGGGTACAGGCCAGGATGCTGCAAAGGGCCCTGCTAGGCCCAGACACCCCCCCAGCCCCACCCTCCCCCCAGCCCCCAAGCAATTGTCCTGTCCCAAGTGTCAACAGTGCCCAGGCTGAGAAAGCCTGCGTTAGGGGCGAGCCCCGATGTGCTAATTCCCTGGAGGCCCGTGCAGCAGAAAGCAGCCTATAGCATTGAACCAATTCTTGCCCCAGTCATACCGCACGACGCACAGGCGACGTAACAAGGTACGGCCAACTAGCTGCTGCGTCAGAGCAGAGAACACAGGCGGGGGAGCCAGGCCGAGCTGCCTCTGCCACCTGAAAGCCTCGTTTGTAACGTTCGTTAACCTGAACGCCTCCTGGAGGCTTCTGCAGTTACCTTCACAGGCATCCTGATTTTCTGCTTTTTCCTCCTGTCACCATCCCTTTGTCCGGATGCCATTCCTCTTCCTGGAATACCCTTGCCTTGTCTTTTAAAGTTTTTTGTTTGTTTGTTTATGTATTTTGAGAGAGAGAAAGAGACACAGCATGTGCAAGCAGGGGAGGGGCAGAGAGAGAGGGAGAGAGACAGAGAGAGAGAGAGAGAGAGAATCTCAAGCAGGCTCTGCACGGTCAGCACCAGAGCCCAATGAGGGGCTCAATCTCACAAACTGTGAGATCAAGACCCAAGCCGAAATCAAGAGTTGAGCGTCTGACTTCAGTTCAGGTCATGATCTCGTGGTTCATGAGTTCCAGCCCCATGCCGGGCTCTGTGCTGACAGCTCGGAGCCTGGAGCCTGCTTTGGATTCTGTGTCTCCCTCTCCCTCTGCCCCTCCCTTGATTCTCTGTCTGTCTCTCTCTCTCTCTCAAAAAGAAACATTAAAAGACTTTTTTAAGAGTTGGATGCTTAACCAACTGAGCCACCCAGGTTACCCTTGCCTGGCTGTAACCTCAAAGACCAATTCGTCCTCTTCTGAGCAACATCTCTCCCTAACAGATTGTCTGGTGACAGGTGGGACCTGGCTGAGACCATTTCACACACACTACTTAGTGAATAATGCTTCCTTTTACTCCTCAACTCCAAAATTGTTCTTGAGAGAAAACAGTTGCATGGCACATCCAGAAAGTTCTCAGTTGAGCCTTTTAAAGTGAAGCTTAAATTAAAATAATTTAATGTTCCAAGAAAACAGTGACTCAATCTTGGAATGTTCTGTCCAGTACAAATAAACTCTTACATGTCCTACTTTCATTGATGCTTTAATGACGGTTAAAACCAGGGCCATAATTTTTTTTCTTTGGGGGTAAGAACCCAGAGAGAATCTATCAGAAGCAACCGACAGAACTGTTTGTCACAAGGCAAAGCACTGGATTGATAAGCAGCCTTGTGTGGTAGGTTCTGTAAGAGCCTCAAAGATATCCAGGTCCTAATCCTGGAACCTGCAGATCTCATTTTGTGTGGTAATAGGGACTTTTGTAGATGTGAGTGAGGATTCTGAGATGGGAAAACTGTACTGAATTATCTTGAGGGGTCCTAAATGCAATCACAAGTGTCCTTGGGAGAGGGAGGCACAGGAAGAGACTTGGAGATGCCACACTTCTGGCTTTAAAGACGAAGGGGCCATGAGCCATAGAACACAAGGAAGGCAGTTCCAGAAGCTGGAAAAGGCAAGGCAAGGGACTGGATTCTCCCTAGAGCCTCCAGACAGAAGCCGTGACAGCTTGACTACAGCCAGGCGAAACTGATTTCGGACTTGCAGCCTCCACAACTGTAAGAGAATACATGCCTATTGTTTTAACCCATCAGCTTTTGTGGTTATTCGCTAGAGTAGGCCACAGGGAACTAGGTCACCTTGGTTTTACAGGTGAGAGAAACTGGATATGCTGGTTACTAAATAAAACGTTTACATTCATACTGGTTCTTGGGATCATAAAACTGAGTTTCTAAGTCTGTTTCCTGAAAAGGACAAAGAACTTTCCTTTCAAAACCAAATGGGTTTATTTTAATGGTTTTAAGGTCTGTTTGCAACTTTAAAATTAGGGAAATAGTATGTTTGCTGCAAGAAATATTTGCCTTCTATGAACTAAGCTGGGCGAAGTCTAACCTTTACAGCAGCCTTGGGAAAATCACCCCAACATGACTTTGGTCGTTTGGGTTCTAATAAACTGACCCAGGTACCTAACCCTGGGAGGAACCTAGCCCTAAGATTCCTTCTTGTAAAAAAAAAAAAAAAAAAATCACTTTACATATAAAATACAGGGTCTGCAGTGGCTTGGTCTTATAAGACAATGCAGAAACTTTTTTACCCGACGCAACTGCTTTGTAAGTTTTACTCTGAGTAAGTACCACTCTCCCACGGTGGAGTTGTCATTACTTTGCAGGACAGTGAGCATTCTGCAGTAATTTCTGGGAAGGTCACCCAACCATGATGCTTCCTAGACGCTCAGGTGTAGACACCAGCTGGGGAAGGTGTCCTGAGCGTCGGACCACGCGAAGCGGCCGGCTCTCCCAGGCGCTTACCCCGCGGACCACTGCAGCACGTCGGCGGGCTGGGTGCGGATCGCAGCCTTGGTGAACTGCTTCAGGATGTCGGGCAGTTCAGGGGGAATGTGGATCTGCTGCGCGCAGAACATGGTGTCGGGAAGCGGCATCGCTCTCCGCGGACCGGGACCAGGCTGCGAAGAATCCAGGTGCGCTGCGTGTGGGGGCGTGAGCCTCGGGGCTCAGGCGCAGCTCAAGGGTCTGGCCGCCCAGCCTCCCCGGATCTGGAGCCTGGAGGGGACCTGGGGTTTGTGGCGGGGCCGGGCTCCCGGACTTGGGGGCGGGCCAGGAGGCCGCCTTCGAGAGGTCCGGGGTGGCCGGCCGGGTCTTTCAGCCGCTCCTCCTCGGGCTCCTCGGAAAGTGAAGGCCAACTGCCCCTTCTAGTCACAGCCCGGAAGCGCCAGCGGCACCCATTGTGTCGCAGAGGCATCCAGGCAACCGGGACGCATGAGGGCCCCGCCCCCTGGCTCCGCGCAGGCGCGCACGCCTCGGGCCGAGACGGCAGGGTCGCCCGCGCCGGGCGGCAGGTAATGCGCTTGCGCAGTCTGGCTCCGGCCCCCTTTCGCCACTAATTGGTTGTTTATACGGAGCCGAACGTTTCGCTTAGAAAAGGACCTTTTTGGTCGATTTCCCACTGCCAGTTGTGAAGGGCGAATTCACAAAGGACTCCCCTTCCCCTTGCTCTGGCGTCGTAAACTTAAGGACGAGGTGACTCAGTCCTCGTAGGTAGGAAGCCGTTGTAATCATGGGGGCTGGTCGGTGCAGGTGGCACGAGCTCCCTCCTCCCCCGAAGGAATGTGGCCCTGCCTTCCTCGACTGTCGCGCTCATGCTGCACGTGCTCGTCCAAGAGGCCCCCAGCCTCGATACCATCGCATCTCCCACTCAGTCTGCTGATTTCAGTTTAAGAGCCACTTAGGAGTTTAGACAGCGGGTGATTTTCAGCTAAAAGAAGATTCTGTTTAAATTGTTTTCCTAAGGAAGACAGAATGGTTGAGCCAATATGATTGGGTCTAGAAGGACATAAGCCATGTCTTCTGATACAGTAGCTTCGGGTCCATGGATAGAGTAATTGGCTCCATTCTGGTGAATCCTGACCGGGGCAGTGTACAAGGCGGCTACGTTTAAACCCACCCTGAATGTATGAGGCCCCCGAAGCCTGCTTTCCCCTGCTCGCCTCTAGCCCGGACAACGGAGAACTGGAATAAGTTATCTCCAGGAAGAGTCAGGCAGCCCTTCCTCCTGCCCTAGAGGCATCACCCCCACCCATGACCCCTCTACCTGGGCACACACATTTCCAAATTAACAGCATTAGCAAAAACTTAAAACAGTCAATATTTAATGTTGATAGAATATGGGAAAACAAGGAATTTCATATGCTGGTGAGAGAAGAATGTCAATTAGTACCTTTGGGGGCCACTTGGCACTATATTTTGATGACTTACCAATCTTTTACCGATTGATCCTACAGAAATACTAGCCTGAGTATATAAATTAGTATGGACAAATGTGTTTATTATAGCATATAATAAAATGGGTTAACTAATGGTCTTTCAGAAAACTGAAATCATAATCTTATCCACACAACAGAATACAATACAGCCAGAATTATTAAATGAGGTAGCTACTTAAGTGTTGATATAAAAAGATGGTCATGAAATATAAAGCAGAAAAAAAAAAGCACCCCATTGAGCAGAGTCTGTGGGAGCACACTACCTATATTGTGATAAAAGGAGTCTGTCAATGTATGTTGACCCACACCACATTCTGGAAACAAACACTAAACTACTAATAGTGGTAATTACCTCTGGAGAACGGCACAGGTTTTCAGTTTTTATTTTAATCCTAGACACGTTATTTTTATGCTGTTTCATCCATTTATTTACTCGAGTATTTATTGAATATGGAATATGTCCCAAGAACCGTTCTGAAATACAATAGTAATCTCCAAATAGTTACCAAAAAAAAATCTCCGAAGCTTACATTCAAATGGGGGGAAACATGCTAATGTAAACAATACAGGAAAACCATATAGTATGTTAATACATATGAGAGACAGAACACAGCAGTAGAGGGGTCGGGGAAAGCCCCAGGAGCTGCAATTTTAGATAAGCCTAAGAATGACACTTCAGTGAAGAAAGGAAGAACTTGGGGAGAGCCTAGAGGAAGAACAGTAAGGCACAGCAAGCAGCAAGTGCAAAGGCCCAGAGGTTTGACCTGTTCTGGAAGCAAGGAGGCTGCCTGGAGCACAGTGAGCACAGGGGGCCTCAAAGCAACTGTGGACTTGGGAGTCTGTGATGGTCAGCTACCTGGGTAAAGGACTGACGTGATCTTAGATCTCAACATGATCACTCCGGATCCAGTGTTGAAAGTCAATGGAAGAAAGAAAAGAGAGCATGGGCAGAGGCCAGGAGCTCCAGAGAAACTGCAGTGACCCAGGCAGGAGGAAGATGATGGTGCTTTGCACCAGGATGGTAGCAGTGGGGGTGCTGCGACGTAGCCAGAATCCAATTTATTTTGAAGTGAAGACTTGCTGCCCAATTGTATGTGAAGCGTGGAAAAACAAGTGTCAAAGGTATTACCAACATTTTTTATTTAGCAACCTGAATCCGTCCAGGTGCTTACCAACTGAAAGGGGAAGTTTGAGAAAATAAATCTGGGGTAGGGGAATCACGAGTTGTGTTTTGGACCTACTAAGTTCGAGATGTCCGGAGAGTCCACATAGGCAGCCGCACGGATGTGTCTGGAGTTCCAGGAAGGAAGATGGAATGAGTAAATAAATATATATGTGAGTGATCAGCATCTAGACGGCCTTTAAAACTATGAGAGTAAGTGAGATCACCATGTCAATAGGTGCAGGTAGAACAGAGGTCCCAGACTGAGCTGAAAGGCAAGACAGGGCCAGTGAAGGAGTTTATAAAGCAGAGTCCACAGACAGGTAGGAGGAAGATGAGGGGAGTGCTGTGTCCTGAGAGCCAAGGGAAATGGTTTCACTGGAGAGAGGGACCAGCTATTTCCGGTGAGACCCGAACATTAACCACCGAAGTTAGGGGTGGCCATTGGTGGCCTTTCACGAGAGCAATTCCGGCGGAAGAGTGGAGCAAATAGCTGATTGTAGTAGGGTTGGAAAAGGAGAGGAAAAATTGGAAAGCGGGAGTACGATAACTGAAGGCCTTTAACTGAAAAGGAAAGCAAAATAGAGCAGATGAAGGAGGTGAAGATTTTTCGTATGCAAGAAACAACGGAAACGTCTGGATGATGGGAAGGAAACACAACAGTTACCATGAGGGAGAGGGAGATCTGCAGCAGCACCTCGAGCGGGTGAGAGTCGTGTCCATCCAGTGAGGCCGTGCAAGGCGGGCAGGGCTCAGGGAGTGATCGCACATGAGCCCGGGGGCGCATTTCACTCTGCGTACAGGGCAGGCACGCCGGAGGGGACGTGCATGGCCTGCATGGCCCACGGGGCATCTGGGCACAGGTGCAAGTAAGAGGGTAAATGCGATGGTGTGAACTCGTGAAGACTTGTTCCGATTGCTTCGGTCTTCTCGGTGAAATAGAAAAGTCATCAGCCAAAAGTCAGAAAGGAGAAGCGGGCACTTTGTAGAAAGATAAGGTATGAAATGATTAGAGAGCATATATGAACATGGTATTTATTTTTGAAATCAAGATGTAATTAACATGCAAATTGCACAAGTTGAAAATGTGCAATTCTTTGACATATGTATACATGTCAAACCACATCAAGATAACGGACACATCATCACCCCCATTTCCTTATGCCCCTTTGAAATCTCTCCATGTCCCTCCCCACCAACCCCCACTCATGTACTTTCTATTGATTTCTGTAGGTTACTCTGCATTTTCCAGAAGTTTTGATAAACGAAAGCATACATTTTTGGTCTGCTTTCAATCAGCATTGGGACTTGTCCATGTTGCGTATATCAAGTTAATTGCCTTTTATTGGAACAGTATTTCATTGTATGGATAATCATTTATCTCTTTCCCTGTTGTTGGCCATGTGCATTTTTTCCACCTTTGGGCTATTACAAATAAAGCTACCATAAACGTTCATGTCTGAGTCATCATAGGGACTTACTTTTCCCTCAGTCAGTAACTGGGGGTGGTGAGTAGTTACTATAACCTTTTAAGCACTGCCCATTATTTAATTAAAACAATTTTTTTTTTTTTTATGTTTGAGAGAGAGAGAGTGTGTGTGAGCAGGGGAGGGACAGAGAGACAGGGGAGACACAGAATATGAAGCAGGCTCCAGGCTCCGAGCTGTCAGCACAGAGCCTGACTGGAGGGGGCAGGGGGTGCCTGGGACCCACAAACCGTGAGATCACGACTTGAGCTGAAGTCAGATGCCTAACCGACTGAGCCACCCAGGCGCCCCCCAACTGTTCTAAAGTAATTAGCTCACCCCTTTACTCTCCTTCCAGCACAGCGTGAGCATTCCTCACATTCTCACCGACACGTGGTATGGTATTTTTAGTCATTCTGATATGTGGTGGTAACTCACAGGTTTTAATTTGTTTTCCTAATGGCTTTTACATTGACCAGCTTCTCATGTGCTTATTTGCTATCTGTATGTCCTCTTTAGTGAAGTGTGCTTAAGTATTTTGCCCATTTTAAAAATGGGCAAATGGATCTTCTCAAACTACTGAGTTTTGAGACTTTATTCTGAATGCATGTCTATTATCAGAAATGTTCTGCAAATATTCCCTGCCACTCCATGGCTTTTGTTCTCTGAATGACATATATCAGAGAGTGGACATTTTCAATTTTGATAATGTCCAATTTATCAAAATTTTCTTCTAAGGATTGTGCTTCTGGGCTGTATCCAATCTAAATCTTTGCCTTACCCGAGGCTGAACATTTCTCCCTGTTTTTTCCCAGAAGTTATATAGTTTGAGCTTTCATGTTTAGGAATATAATAATTTTAATTTTTGCGTATGTTGAGATAAGGATCAATTTTTAACTTTGCATCTGGATGGCCAATTGTTCCAGCACCATTTGTTTGACTTTCGCACCTTGTCAAAACTCACCTGTCCCTACGCATGTGGGTCTATTTCTGGACTTTCTGTTCTGCTCCATCAGTCCAGTGGGTTTGTGTAACTGGCAGGAGGGACGGATGCAACGGAGCCAAGAAAAAAGGAGTTATTGAGGGGGTTGCTGACACAAAGCTTCTTGTCCTAAAAAAGCTACTGAATAAATGTGGAAAAGCAGAAAGACACTACACTGTTGCATATGTGCAAAAAGAGAAATTTCAAAAGGAAGATAAAGCATGTACAGGGGTGCAGAAGGGGCTGCCTCCACCCAGGTCACGGCTGCTGTCGGCCCATTCCAGCACAGTGTGGGGCTGTGGGAGGCAGACTGCGGGG